AGCTGGTGGGAAAGCCAGCGCGAGCGATGAGCACACACCCACTTCCGACAGGTTCGGCGATTCAGACGTGCAGTGAGGGAAGTAGACGTCTGTCGCGGGAGTAACGCCATTGCACCCGCATGTACGCAAATTCCTCGCTGGCGTTTGCGGGGCCACTGGAGCCCAGCGCTCCTAGAGCCAGAACCAGGGTCTCGCCAGGTGCAGTTGGAGGGGTCGATGTGTGACGATGCCCACACCCTGGTGTGTGGCACAGAAAGGCCTTTCCGCTGCCTGGTGTCGCTTGGGGAGGGCACTTTCAGAGACGCGGGCACTTCCTCTTTTACTGAAGTGGAATCACACAGCGGAATCAGTCATTGAAAGCGAACAGGTCAGTGGCGGTTAGTACATTCATGATGTGCGGCCATCACTTGTTTGGTTCCGAAGCATTTTCATCTGCGAACGGAAACCCTCTCCTGCCCTAGTGGCCTGGAGACCCCGAGAGTCATGACTTCGGGGTGAGACCAGCTGTCGGCCACGCACTGGGAAACGTCTTGCTCTCTCGCAGGGACAAGGCTGCGGAAATACTTGATTCATTAATACAAGCAACTCACGTTGCAACGAGAGGCAACTCCGACTACCGGGACCTTGGTGACGGCTGGCTGGAGATCGTGGGTAAGTCAGGCTGCACCCGTGGAGTGAGGGGCGTGGCTGCTGGGACTGCAGAGCCCCGCCCAGCAGGTCCTCTGCCTCTGCTGGGCTCAGCTGACACTTGCTGGGGGTTAACACTCCTTTATCTCTGGCTCGTGATGCCCTTTTTGTGTCTAAAATAGGAAATCCACAGGAAGGTCAAGTTGCCCCGTGGTCTTAGGAGCCAGCAGTGTCTGTAAAGGAAGCGGGAGTGGGTGTGAGGGTGCTCATTTCAGTTTGCGTTGTTATTCTTGGTCCCAGGAATATGGGCAATTGAGAATTGCCTTCGTGATTTAAAAAAGCAGTTTTGTTAACTTAAAAGGAAAGGTGATAGAAAATACTCTAAGTGAACGGAGCCAGGCACCAGTGCCCACCCCTGTGGGAGCCCATCCCCCATCCGCAGCAGCGTCCAGACCTGGAGACAGAAGGCAGATGAGTGGTGGCTGGTGGCCAGGCCGGGCGGTGGGAGGCAACGAGGGGTGATGGTTCCTGAGCACAGGACTCTTTCGAGACACATTGATTGGGTGCCTCTCGCGCGCTCCCTGACCTGGGCCGGGATCAAACCTGCAACCCAGGTACAAGCCCTTAACCGGGAATGAAACCCACGCACCAAAGAACCACTGAGCCACACCAGCCAGGGCTGCCCTCACGCTGTCCCTCCGAGGTCATGCAGCTCAGCGGGCTGGGACTTCTCACCTACCAGCTCTGGGCATTTTACTGCAACGGTGCAGCATTTCTGCTGCACCTCTGGGTGGATTTCAGTGAGCACCGTGGGAACCAAATCATGATTTTCGGTGTTATGTGGGCCAAGGGCTCTAAAATTCCAGTGACTGACAATGTATAAGGAAACATGTCGAACACAAGGGGGGATACCGTATGGGATGACAAATAAATAAGAGCCTGAGAGATGGAAGCCTCATTCATGTGCTTCCTGTCTAGTATTTCCCATTTTTACGGTATCCGGGGATCGTAGAAAAACTGTCATTTTCCTTTCCCAAATGCAGCCGCCCCCGACCCAGGCACAGACCTGGCTGGTGGCAGCGGGAAGGGCAGCTGCACGGAGGTTCCTGCGCAGCTGAGCATCCGCATCCTCACCTGGGACGCAGGCTCCGTGGAAGGCATCGCCCAGCAGGAGATCCTGGGCGCAGAAAAGAGGTCTGAGGCGTCTGCTTGGGTGCGGTTCAGAGGCAGGAGCGTGGAGGGCGCCCCAGAAACGGACACAGGGACATGCCGACTTAGAGGCTGAGGGTTTCCTTGCAAATCGCGGCTATCAGCCACGTGTGTGAAAAGGGAAATGTGCTGGTCATGGCAACAGCTGTGTAACGCGTTCTCCTGGCGGGCGCATTTGAAAACTCACACAATACAAACGGGGTAAATTTTTTTAAAAATACGTTTCTATTGATTTCAGAGAGGAAGGGAGGAGGAGAGAGAGAGAAACATCAATGATGAGAGAGAATGATTGATCGGCTGCCTCCCGCACGCCCCACACGGGATGGAGCCTGCAACCCGGGCATGTGCCCTGACCGGGAATCGAACAGGGACCTTCTGGGTCATAGGTCGAAGCTCAGCCCCTGAGCCCCGTGCCAGGCAGGGGTAAGGTCTTTGACAGACTCCTGGGTTATGCTGTCAGTTGCCTGGAGTCCTCAGGTGACGGAGTGAACTGGCGTGCTGCCTGTGCCATCTCTCCTCCAGGGTCTCCTCGGTGACCTGGCGGCCCCAGTGCGGGCTGACGTGTGAGCAGGTTGGCCTCTTCCCCCTCAGTGCCTCCGTCCAGTTCATTCAGGTCCCTGCCCAGCTCCCCCGGCCCCTGACCAGGTAGGTCACTGACCTGGTTGGTATTTTTTAGGAAGAAAAATATAGATCTTTGAAAGTAAATGTATTTCTTTAACTTGGATACTTCTCACCAGAAGGATGCTTTGTGGCAGCTACTGTAATCTTCTAAAATGTTTTCTAGATTCCAGATCAATTTCACAGAGTACGACTGTGACAGAAACGACGTGTGTTGGCCGCAGCTTCTGTATCCCTGGACCCGGTATTACCAAGGTAGGGCACAGCCGATTTCCGGAATGGGTATCGTTATGTCCTGTGTACAAGTTTAAAAAGAAAAATGCCACTTAAAAATGATGGTTATGGCCCTGGCCAGTGCGGAGCGGTTGCCGGCTCGATTCCCGGTCAGGCACCTGCCCGGCTGGCGGGCTCAGTCCCTGATGTTTTTCTCTCACTTCAATGTCTCTCTCCCCCTTTCCCTTCCTCTCTCTCTCTCTCCAAATCAGTTTAGAAAAAGGCCTTTGTTAAGGGTTGGCTGATTTCTATCTCGGTAGTTACGAGCAAGTGGAGCAGGAAGAGCGCGGCTTACCTGATTCACTGTCTTGCAGGGGAGCCTTACGCTCGGCGTGTGGCCAAGGGCTTGCTGCTGGCCGCCTTCTCCGCGGCGGCCCTGTTCCTCAGTGACCCCTGGACCGGAGGACGCAGAGCGTGACCTCCCGCCACTCGGGGCCTCAGACCAGACGCTCCCTCCGCCGATTGGCTGCACCCCGCGTGCTGTTTGAATGAGTGGAGGGCTTTGTTTTTGTGGGAAACGCGCGCCAAGCGCTCTGTGGGTCTCATTCGCCTACGGAGCCATCCAGCCGGGCATCTCGCTGCCGGGCAGACTGAGCAGCGTGCACGAGGGTCCGGGCCTGCCTCCTGGTTATCAGAAGCGTTCGTTTATCCCAAATTACTCAAAGTCACAGGAGCTTTGGTCCAAATATGTTATTTGTACCTTAGAGACAATTATTTCAACTTTTTATATACAGTGTCCCAAAAAGTGTGTACACTTTAACAGCTGATAGCTCAATTTTTGAAAATGAAATGTATTTTAATAAACACTGCCTTTATGATCATCCAACATGTGTGTGTGCATCTTGCATTTTTTTCAGGGCACCCTATGTTTCTGTGGAATTGATGGAAAGACCTTAAGTTTCCCAAAAAAAAAAAAAATTAGCTCCAAGGATCACAGGGTCCAGGCCGTTCTCCGTGAGGCCAGTTCCTCCCGGGTGAGTGGAGAGGAGTTCCCCCCGGGCGCCTGGCAGGGGTCAGGTCGCATTGTGCGTGGGGAGTGAGGCCTTCACCGCCAGCGCGTCTCGGAGCTTTCTTTGTGGCCGGATACGCGGAGTCCCTGCACCGGAGGGACCGGCACACGTCGCACACCTGGTTTTGAGGTCCTTGTAGAAGCTGAACACTCTTGTCGCAGGGAAGGGACCACCCACTGGCTGGCTGGCTGCAGGGAGTCAGAGTCTAAGGCAGCCAGTGCAGCTGGCGCCGGGAAATGAGCTAGAAACTCCTAAACGGCTGGTCACTGATCTGACTGTGTTGGGGGGACCCTACGTCAGGGAAACACTCGCGTGGCAGTACCGTATGGTCTTTTCTATGCATCCGAGAGAGAGAGAGAGAGAGAGAGAGAGAGAGAGAGAGAGGCCGTTCCCACCCGGCCCTTGTCCCGTGGAACTTACATACTTTGGGGGGAAACTGGCAATAAACAGACGAGGATTCCAGACGGCGGGAGGTGCGTGAAGGAACTAAACCAGGGATGTGGAGGCTGGGCGGGGTGGGGACGGCCGCTCAGGAGGTGACACTTGGGCTGAGCCGTGAGGAGCCAGCCTGGAGAAGGCCCGGCAGGGGCAGGGTCAGCAAGGTGGCTGCACCGGCCGGAGCCAGGGCAGGCGGAGGGAGGGGACCCATACCGCGGGGTCTTGCTGGCTGGGGAGAAGTTAGGGGTTTTGCTCGAAGGGCGGTGGGAGACGCCCGGGGCGTTAAAGGGGGGCCGCGCGAGGTCTGGGCCCCGTCAGGTCACTGGGTGCTGGGTGCTGGGTGCAGGGCTGTGCGCGGAAGACACGCGCCGGTCCGCGCCTGCTCCTGGTCTGCTCGGGGACGGCCCCCGAGAGGAAAGCCGCCGCCAGCACCCCGTGCCGCCGGTGTGGCTCCGTGGGTGCGGGTGTCCTGAGACGGGCCGATCTGCGGAGACGGAGCCGCGGTTGCGGGCCGCTGCGGGCGGCGTGGATGGCCATGCTCTGAATCGGCCGTGAAGAAGGCGGCACCGCGCTGCGACTTTACCGGGAACCGCGGGCCGGGCCCCGTCGGGCGGACGCAGCGCGCACCCTCCAGAAACTCGTCTTCAAAGCTCCGGGCCGTGGCGGGCGGCGGCGTTCCGTCCGCGTCCGGCGGGGCGTCGAGAGCACCCGCGTCCCCCGCAGGGCCTGCGCTGATTGGCTCCTCGGCGCCGTCGCACGCCGAAACTCCAGGCGCCATTGGTCGGCCGCGGGGAGGGGCGGGACCGGAAATGGCTAGGGCGGGGGCGGGGCCTCGCACGGCGGCGGCGGCGGCTGGAGCGGCGGCCGCGGGGGCTGGACTGGGGCGGCCGCAGCTGCCCGGAGCCCGATGGTGCGGGGCCGCGGCCAGGCCGCAGCAGGAGCCCGAGGCCCGGGCCGCCCCGGCTGACCGCGCGGGCCCGCGCTGCCCGGAGCCCCGCTGCCGCCCGTCGGTCCCCGCCGGGGCGCGGGCCGCCCGCCCGCCATGGGGTCACTGTTCCGGAGCGAGCCCATGTGCCTGGCGCAGCTCTTCCTGCAGTCGGGCACGGCCTACGAGTGCCTGAGCGCCCTGGGCGAGAAGGGCCTGGTCCAGTTCCGAGACGTGAGTGTCGCCCGGGAGACTCGGGCCTCCCTTCCGCCCGCGCCGGGTCCGGGGCGCGCCGCTGCCCCCATTCCCCAGGCGGGGAAACTGAGGCCCAGCTCAGGGTCCCTCCCGGCTGAGTGAGCAGCGCCCCCCCGTGAGGTCCTCCTCGGCCTCGGGTCGTGCCATCCGACGCCCCTGTGCCGGGCACCGGGCCGGGCGGGGGAGCACATCCGCCAAGGCCTCCCTCCCCGAGTCCCATCTGGCGGGGGACAGAGATCGGACACACCAATCCACACACAAGACAATGTTTGCTGAGAAGAAGATAAAACGGGGTTGGTGTGAGGGTGGCTCGGCTGGCGGTGGTCCAGGTGGGCTTCTAGGAGGAGGTGGCGTTTGGGCCGAGACCTGGGGAAGATCAGGGAACCAGGTGGCAGGTGGGCTCAGCGCCTGAACTGGCAGCCAGCCAGCCAGCGAGGTGCGGGCTCCTCCTGGGGGAGCGATTTGTGTCGGTTTTGTTCGCTGATGTGGGACGGTGCCATGGCCTGGCAGGGACTGGGAGCGCCGTCAGTATTCGTTGAATGGACGCTGTCTCCCCAAGTGACAGTGAGCACTTGTTTGTGCATCTGTCTATCCGTTTGTCTCCCACACGGACTGTCAGCCCCCACGGTCGGGGGCCTCTCCTCCCCGGTCCACTCCTGATTCCCCAAGACTGGGAACAGCCCCTGGTTGGTGGCACTAAAGGGCGTTTGTGGAGCGACCGGGCACGCCTGTATGGAATGTGTGCTCTGTTCCAGATGCCGGCTTGGGTGCTGGGACCGACTGGGTGGCCAGCCAGGAGGACAAGGTCCTTGTGTTGTGGCTCACAGCCTGGGAGGAGCCGGACAAACACACCGATGACGGAGGGCGACGGGGAGAACAGGGTGTGGAAGGGAGGTTGGGAAGCAGGACCGAGACGTGCTGTTGGGACGGGAAGTCACGGACGTGGAGGTTTTATTTCCTGGGCCACAGCCTTCCTCCCCTGGTGGCTTCCCCTTCATTTCCAAAGGGAGCACCCCTACCGCGTGCTGATGCCGTTGGGGAGAGAACCCTGAGTGACGTGAGGCTGCAGGGCAGGCCCGGCTCTCTTCCTGGTTCCGGGGGCCACTCGGGCGCCAGCGCCCGGACCCACTTACCTGGCGGGTGCTGGGCTGACCCGGTGGATGTGCTCCATCCTGTGAGTCCTCGGCCCCGGGGCGTGGCCGGCTCCAATCTCAGAGGCTTGAACAAATGCCCCAGTCGCCGCCAAGATTCGAGTTTCACGGAGTGTCATTACAGCCTGTGCGCTCATCCTCCCCCAGAAGGAAACCGGACCAAAGGAGCTCTTCCCGGTGTGGGGCCAGGCTTTCCGAGCTGGGGGTGTGTGTGTGTGTCCGTCCCTGTGTGTGTCTGTCTGTGTCTCCGGGCGGCTGTCAGGCAGCGTGGATGCCAGTGCATAAAGTTCCATCGCGGCTGAAGTTCCCCTGCTCTGTTCTGGGGTTTCTTACTGACCTCGGGCTCACCAGATGGGACCCCTGACCTCTGCTTGGTCTCGGGCTTGCAGCTGAACAATTTTCCCCTTTTCATTCAATAGCCCTTCTGAGGGGAAGGAGGCGGGGCGGAAGGAGGCGGGGCCTGGGTTTCCGTGGTGACAGCAATGGAAGGCCTGGATGAAAACAAAGTTATTTAACCTGAGGGCTCAGGGAAGGCGGGAGCCTGCCCTTTGTCACAGTCCCAGCCTCAGAACAGTTTTCACCTGTAGGCAGTTGCTGAGCTGCTGGGAGTGGAGTGGAGATTAGTAAAAAGAGCACCAGGCAGCCTCTGCCAGGTTTTTTTTTTTTTTTTTTAAATAGGTTTTTATTGATTTTTGAGAGAGAGGAAGGGAGAGGGATAGAGAGAGAGAAGCACCGATGTTAGAGAGAATCACTGATCGCCTGCCCTCCTGTATGTCTCCCGTTGGGGATGGAGCCTGAAAACCGAGCCTGTGCTCTGACCGGGAATCGAACCCTGACCTCCTGGTTCATAGGTTGACACGCAACTCCCTGAGCCACGCCGGCCGGGCCCGCTGCCGGTTTTCTGAGGTTAAATGTTAGTCTTCCAGTGAATCCACGTTTATAAGTTCTTCATATCACTGGCCCGGAATGAGGGTGATGTTGCCTCCCTATAAAGAAGAGAGAAGTGAAACTTTGTAAAAGAAACCACGGAACAGGAAAAACACAGTGAATACCTGTGAGACGGTGATGATGGGATGGCCAACCCGATCTGTGTGTCAGGGCCAGACGGCGGCCTCTTCCTGAGGTCGGTCTGCAGAACCACGGGGTCCGATGAGGGTTATTGGGGTTGATGTGAGGAAGGAACACCTGCAGTGGAGAAGCGGGTGGTTGGCAGAGGCTTGGGGGCCTGGCTCCCCTGTGACACTCAGTTCCGTCGGGAAGACCGTGTCTGAGTCCCCAGGAGCTGGAGAGCGCGGCGCCAGGTCAGCGTGAGTCCAGGACTGAGTGGGAGTTGACAGACAGGTGGCATGAGACGTTGTCTTCCTTGTGGGTAATTCTTTAAAAAAATAACTCCACACGCCGAACAAGAGCCGAACCTTGGGGTAGAGACTCTCGTGTTGAGCAGTTCATGCCAAGCTGCTGTCTGACTGTTTTCTTGAGTGTCCGCTACAGATGCGAGAATTCTTGCCCCATGCCGTTCCCCGTGAGCGGAGACCGAGCCTGACCTCCTAGCTCGTAGGCCGGCGTTCAGCCACTGAGCCGCACTGGCTGGGCTGTGCTTTTTTAAAAAAATTACCTTTACTGTTGGAAGTACAACAGATGTCCCCTTTTCCTCCCATTGACCCCCCACGCTGCCCCTTCCACACGCCCCTCCCCCCGCATCCCCTTGTTCACGTGGCCCCACCCGGCTGTTCACGTGGCCACACCCCCTTGAGACTGTGGTCGGCCACACCTCCCTGGTCGGCCCCTGCTCTCACACCGTCCACAGTCCCTTTGCCAAAGTCCTTCCAGAAAATCGTGTGCGCGTCTCATCTCTTTCCCGCTGGGACTGTGATGCTGGGATTGAGACGGAGACAGGAGAGCAGTGGCCCGGCCGGAGTCCGTGTGAGGGGTCCCTGGAAGGCGAGGACACTTAAAAATCAGAACCACAGTGTCATCATTTAACCTAAGCTCTTTAATAATTTCTTGCTATAATCAAATGCCGTAGTCACTTCAAACACCATTTTATAAGTGTATGAGTCACATGACTAAGTCATAACTTCGTACAACTTTATTGACGTGTGTCATGAAATCCACTCATTTCAAGCGTATTCCCTGACTTAGGAAGTGTGCTGAGCCCAGTCTCAGGCGTCCCACGCCAGGAGGGGAGCCCCTTCCCGCTGCCGCACTCAGCCCCCCGGCCGTCGCTCGTCTGCCTCCCGCCCTGCGGGGAGCCCTCTCTGGACGTTTCATAGGAATGGGGTCGCACAGTGTGTGCCCTCTGTGTCCTGTCACCCCCAGAGTCCTCCGTGACGTTTCATGTGTCGGCAGCTTGTCCCTGCTCCTTGCCGAGTCGTACTCCACGGGTGGGCGGACTCTAACTCCTTTCATCAGTTTTCCGTGTGAATGCTGTCTCCATATCCTGGGTGGGTGTCTTCTAGAGAAGTCTTTGTCCGGATCCACGGTTTGGGCTGAGGTTAAATTTCTCCATGGGTGTTTCTGGGCCGAAGGGCATTTTCCAGGTGTTTCTGGTAACAGCTGCCAAGCGCTTTCCGAACAGCCGTGGCCGAGCGCGCCCACTCAGTAGTCCATGAGGGTGCGCTGTTCCCCAGACGCTTGCCAATGATATTTTAACGTCAAATTCATCGTTAAACTTCAGGTGTTGAACGAACATTTTTGATTCTTTTCTCAGCTCAACCAGAATGTCAGTTCTTTCCAAAGAAAATTTGTTGGTGAGGTGAAGCGGTGTGAGGAGCTGGAGCGGATCCTGGGTGAGTTTATGAGAATAAACCGAACAGCCCTTTCCCGTAAGCACCCTGCTCCCTTCAGAACAGTCAGGAACTAGAGATGAGTAGGAGGAAGAGAAGAAAGCGCCTGTCTCCTCCCTGCCCCGGGGCCAGCCCCTCATGGAGGTTCACTCACAGCCGCACTGGCGTCTTTTCACCTGTAGCCTCAGGGCTTACACCCATCAACTGACGGGTCACCCTGTCGTCCCACCTGCTGCTGTCCAGGCAGCGCCACAGCAGGTGGCCTCTGAGTCCGTGGGAACCAGACGTGGATTGTCAGACACGCAGGGAAGGGGGGATGTGACGTGTTGCCACCTGCGCAGTGTGGAGCCTCCCTCTTCCTCGTTGGTTCCGCAGCGTACCTGGTGCAGGAGATTCACAGAGCTGACATCCCGCTCCCCGAGGGCGAGACCAGCCCCCCTGCCCCGCCTCTGAAGCAGGTCCTGGAAATGCAGGTAATGCGCGCCCTCAGGGCTGTACCTCCTCCCTGTCTGCTGCCTGGTCGCCTGCCCGTCCTCTCAGAGCCAGAGGACGCTCACCCCAGATGGCCATAGGCAACCTGGCCCGTGTGGCTCAGAGAGGGCGCTACCCCAGATGGCCATAGGTGACCTGGGTGGTGTGGCTCAGAGAGGGCGCTACCCCAGATGGCCATAGGCGACCTGGGTGGTGTGGCTCAGAGCGGACGCTACCCCAGATGGCCATAGGCGACCTGCGTGGTGTGGCTCAGAGAGGACGCTACCCCAGATGGCCATAGGCGACCTGGGTGGTGTGGCTCAGAGAGGACGCTACCCCAGATGGCCATAGGCGAACTGGGTGGTGCGGCTCAGAGAGGACGCTACCCCAGATGGCCATAGGCGACCTGGGTGGTGTGGCTCAGAGAGGACGCTACCCCAGATGGCCATAGGCGACCTGGGTGGTGTGGCTCAGAGAGGACGCTACCCCAGATGGCCATAGGCGACCTGGGTGGTGTGGCTCAGAGAGGGCGCTACCCCAGATGGCCATAGGCGACCTGGGTGGTGTGGCTCAGAGAGGACACTACCCCAGATGGCCATAGGCGACCTGGCCCGTGTGGCTCAGCGGGCAGCATCATCCCCTGGCGGGCAGCATCATCCCCTGGCCTGGCTAGACTCTGGCTTTTTAAAAGCTCCACTGGTGGGCGCCGTAGAAGGAGCTGGGACGCCGCCTGGGCGCCGAGGCGGGTGCTGAGCAGCTGCGGTTCCGTTGCAGGAGCAGCTGCAGAAGCTGGAGGTGGAGCTGAGGGAAGTCACGAGGAACAAGGAGAAGCTGAGGAAGAACTTGCTGGAGCTGATCGAGTACACGCACATGCTGCGGGTGACCAAGACCTTCGTGCGGCGGAACGTGGAGGTGCCGGGGCGGCGCCGGGGAGCCCGTGTCTGAGCGTCTCGGGCCGTCGGGTCCCGGTGGGGCTGGCAGTGCCTGCCATCCTGCCGGCGACGTGTGGCTTTTGCCAGGAGACGTGTGACCGCAGCCTTACTTTCCAGCTGGGCGGTCCCACACGAGAAAAAGCGTTAAGCCTTTTCCTGTGTTGGTCGGTTTTAGCAGGAACAGTAGCTCCTACTTGTTTTTGTTATTTGTTTTGAATTTATCTTTATTGTTGAAAGTATTACAGGTGCCCCCCCACCCCCATTGACTCCCCGTCCCTCCCCCCCCCCCCCCCCCGGCCTTCACTGCCCTCCTGTCCGCGTCCGTAGGTTATGCAACACCTCCTGTCTGTGCAGTGCTTAGGTTTGCAGTTGAAAAAAATCGTATGATCATGAGAAAGAATTGGACAGGACTTCCAGTTCTAAAATCTAGACCTTATTTCCGAATTGCTAAGAGGAAAGGGGTAAACCCCGCCATGTACACGATGAGAACGAAGCGCAGGCCCTGCCCTGCGGTTTCCCTGTGCGCCCGCCCCCCCCCCCAACCACTTTCGCTCAGAAACCTGGGGCACCTGGGGCGGGGGAGGGCCCAGCGTACGCCCCGCTCTCCTGGGACTGTCGCCAAGGAGCTGGCAGTGAGGGGTGGGCAGTGGGTGCTTTCTTGGTGAGAGCTGTTTCCTGTCTGAGTTCCCGGGGCCTGGCACCCAGATCCACGTGGCAGGGACGCACCCTAAACTGCTGCTGGGAACGAGACGGGAGGAATCGCTTCTCACGAGACGCACGTGGTCTCCTCTCTCGTAGTTTGAGCCCACGTATGAAGAATTCCCCGCCTTGGACAGCGACTCCTTGCTGGACTACAGCTCTATGCAGAGGCTGGGAGCGAAACTGGGGTAGGTGGGGGGGGTCGGGCCCCTCTGCCCCTGTCGGGGAGGACGAGCTCCGTGGAGTGACGGACGGCACGCTCCATCGCCCGTGACTGAGTGGCAGAGTGAGCGCTGCTTAGGGAACACGGGCTCCCCAGTGTGCGCATCGGGCGGCTGCTGTGCTTCTGGCTGAGCCACGGGCCCAGGAGCTGGGAAGAGGGGGCGTTTAGGCCGCGTTGCTCCTCGAGCCTGAAGCGGTTGGGCCTGGGAGCGCCCAGCCTGGCCTGCGTGGGGTCGGGGCTGAAGGGGCTGGGGGGTGTCGGCCCTGTGCTCAGGGCCTTCCTGCTGCCCGTTCTTGCCGTTCGTTCACCTGAACCGGCGGGACCCTGCCTCCTCCGGGTTCCTCCGAGGAGCGCACGCCCTGTTCATTCACCGCCTGGGGGAGCTCAGTGTTGAGCGTGAGGACGGATCCCCCAGAGTTTATTCACTTGTCAGGTCCGGGAGCCCCTGCCAGCCTGAGTCACTTCACGCTCCCTTCTCAGCTGGGCTTCTTGTTGGGTTTTCTGTTTTTCACTGTGAGCTTAGGCCAAGCCCAGTGGTTTCTCGCCGGTGGCTGTAAACTCTCAGGGAAGGCTTTCCCCTTCCACCCGGAACTGGGACGTAGCACGGCACCTGTGGGCTCCTTTGAGGTTGCCCGTCGCCATTCACTGAGGGGGGGGCCCTTTGGGGGACCCAACTTGAGAGAGGAGATTTGGGGGTGATCTTTTCCTCACCTGATGGAGACGCAGGGCCCATCCCCTTCTCCCACGCGAGCGCCTCTCCCACGTGAGCACCGAGACTCTGGGCCTTAGGATGCTGGTCGGGGCGGTGGTGTGGGGGTGTGAGGCTCTGTGCCTTCTGTTCCAGGATGTCCTGAGTCTGGGCTCGGCTCAGCCTGGAAAGGATGCTTCAGGGCCTTCCCACCGGCGTGCTAGGGTCTGGCAGTCGGAGGCCCCTTCCCCTGGCCAGAATGGAGCGCTCGTCGCCCGGGTGCTGTGCTGGGTGAGAGCCGCTGCCCTTCGCTGACCGGCGGTCTGCATTCCTCCTAGATTCGTGTCCGGCCTCATCCACCAGGGGAAGGTGGAGGCGTTTGAGAGGATGCTGTGGAGGGTCTGCAAAGGGTACACCATCATGACCTACGCAGAGCTGGACGAGTCCCTCGAGGACCCGGAAACGGTGAGTGGGGGGCACGGTCGCCTTCGGCCAGCGACAGGCCCGCAGCGGCTGGGCACAGCGCAGGAGGACCCCGGGGGGCTGCTCCCCGCCCCTCCTCCTCAGAGATTCCAGGGCCTCCTCCCACGGCCACAGCACGGCTGACCCAGGTGGACACTGCCCCCCCCAGGCCTCGGAGCCCGTGAGGCTTTCTGAGAGGTGTGTCCCCGCGTCAGCACTGCGCGCGGGCCATTTCAGCAGCGAAGCCACCGCCCGCGAGCACAGACCGTGCCGGGATAGGCCAAGCAAGGACGCTCGCTTGCCGTTGGGGGGAGCGAGGCAGAGGGGACGTGCACGCGGGGGCTTGGGTTTTGGTCGCTCTACTTGCCCGAAAATGACCAAAAATATGCCTGGCCTTGGTTCGGGGTTGGGAATGCTTTTCGCGGTGAACTTGCCGTCGCGGCCTCGCAGGAAGGAGGTCGGCGCGCGTGTTGGGGGAATGAGTGAGAGGACGGACAGAGGCTGAGCCGCCAGAGGGGCGCACGCTGCAGCCCCGGAAGTAAGGGCGCCTTCCCCGCAGGGAGAAGTCATCAAGTGGCACGTGTTCCTCATCTCCTTCTGGGGCGAGCAGATCGGCCACAAGGTGAAGAAGATCTGTGACTGGTGAGAACAGCCTCCTTCCTGCCCCCGCACGCAGGCCCGGCAGCGGCGCGGACGCTCTGGGGGTTGTCATGCGGCGTCTTTGCTGAAATGCTACGTTTTAAACATTTAATTGGTTAGCTAATTCTTGCCAGGGCAATTCTTAAAATAACTTAAAAGTTGAGACCATGTTAGTGCCATTCCCAGATTTGTGTGTGTTTTAGAAATCAAGGCTTGAAAGATCAATTGGCCTGGCCGGCGTGGCTCAGTGGCTCAGTGGTTGGGCGTTGACCCAGGAACCAGGAGGTCACGTTGGATTCCCGGTCAGGGCACAGGCCCGGGTTGTGGGCTCATCCCCAGTGTGGGGCGTGCAGGAGGCAGCTGGTCCATGTTTCTCTCTCATCATTGATGTTTCTATCTCTCCTTCTCCCTTCCTCTTTTTCTAAGATCATTTGAAAAAACATTGAAAGTCATTTAAAAACATTTTTTAAAAAGATCAATTGGAAAAGGAATCAAGTTGAAGTATTTTGAGCCGCGCATGGACTTGCCTGTGTTCGGTGGAGCCCTGGGCAGTTTCTCCCTCTGAGGTTCGCTCCAGCGTTCCTCCAGCCCCTCCGGGTCCTGACGGCGGGGAACTCTGTCTTGCAGTTACCACTGCCACATCTACCCGTACCCCAGCACCGCCGAGGAGCGCCGTGAGATCCAGGAGGGGCTGAGCACCCGCATCCAGGACCTGTACACGGTGCGTGGCCCGGCCCTGCCACCCGCCGAGGCTGGGACGCGCACAGACCCGGCCGCTCCCCTGTCCGGCTGGACGGGGCACATGGCGGTGTCCAGGGGCCGGCAGGCCGCCTCTACCGTCGCGGCGTGTTGTCTTGCAGCCTCTGGGACCTCGCTAGTGTCGGCTTTGCGTGGGAGGTCGCCTTGCTGTGTCGGCGCAGTCTTCATCACGCCCGCTCCGAGTGTGGCTCTCGTGTCCCGTTTCTGCTCAGGGCAGGGAGGGCTCTCGGGCTGTGACCCACGGAGGCGCCAGGGGCTTCCGGGCGGGGCGGGATGGGGGGTGCGTGAGAACCCGGAGGTCCCTGCACCGGGCAGGCCTGGTGCTGCCCCAGTGGCTGTGACCTCAGACTCTCTCCTGTGGCCCTGGCTCCTCTCCGGGAGAGGCAGCTCCAGGGGCATCGGAAGGGCTGAGCTCGGGTCTCCACCTGCCTCATGGGGTCCTGGGGTCCTGGAGGGGGAAGAGGAGGAGCGCAGTGAAGGCTCGCTCACCTGCCTCCAGGCAGCAGGGGCCGGGCCTTCAGCCTCCCTCCGTGGGACTCAGGCCGAGCTGAGCGCTGCCCACCCGCCCACAGCCGCGCTCCTCCCCCAGGTACTGCACAAAACCGAGGACTACCTCAGGCAGGTGCTGTGCAAGGCGGCCGAGTCAGTGTACAGCCGCGCCGTCCAGGTGAAGAAGATGAAAGCCATCTACCACATGCTCAACATGTGCAGCCTCGACGTGACCAACAAGTGCCTCATCGCCGAGGTCTGGTGCCCCGAGGCCGACCTGCAGGGCCTGCGCCGTGCGCTGGAGGACGGCTCGGTAAGGCGCCCGACGGCTGGGAGCTCTCTGGGAGCCCGCGGGAGCTCGGCTCGCCGCCACCACTGCTCCTCCGCCTCCGCGGCCGGGAGGCGGGCTGGGAGTTCAGGGGCGTGTCCCACACGGTGGTGTTCTGTGGTCTCGGGGCTGTGGCTTTGTGATGAGCGTGTGGTGGGTCTCAGTTTTGCTGTCAGTCGCGCTGCCTGCCCTTGAGGGGACTCGGAGGTTCACGCTGTGCCATGGCGGCCACTCTCCCAGGACCCGTGCCCTGTGTCTCGGGAAATAGTTTGGCTGGAAACCTGCCCTTCTGGTCCCAACCCGAGCTCTGGATTGTGAAGGCCGCCTCCCCATCCGTCAGCGGATGTGTCTCAGGAGGTGACGCTGCCAGCAGGGCTACCGGTGGCCGCTGGCCAGCGACGCGGGATTTCAGTTTATTAGCTGGTGCAGCTGCCTCTGAATGCCTCCTGAATATCACAGTAGTTTTAATTTTTGTCTTTTTAAAATCTTTATTGTTGGAAGTGTCACATATTCCCCTTTCCCCCATTGACCCCTCCAGCCCGGCCCCGCCCCGCCCCAGGCGTCCACCACCGTATTGCCTGTGTCCGTGGGTGATGCGTTTATGCCGAAGGGCCTTTGGTTGATCTGCCTCTTGAACATTTTTAAAAGATAAAAGACTAAATTCCAGTTTTCCTGGTGATCCTGGGACTCCCTAGTATCTCTCTGCCTGGAGGAGTCCCTCCAGCTCCTCCCTCCATGTCCCCACCCACTCGGCCCGGCTTGCAGGACCCCGCCCCGTTCCTGCTTCTGCTGTCCTTGGGCCTGTCCTTGAACCTGTCCTTAAACCTGGTGGTTCGATCAGTACTTTCCCCCGGAGCCCAAAGAACTTCGCTGGCAGGAAGCAGTGTGCTGAAAAGGCTCTTTCTTGGACAGTCTTTTTTATTTTTATTCTTTTTCATGCGAAAGAGAGAGAGCGGTGCTACCATCACCTCATTTATGAACACGATCCCGACGACAGAAACGCCCCCCACCCTGATCCGCACCAACAAGTTCACCGAGGGCTTTCAGAACATCGTGGACGCCTACGGCGTGGGCAGCTACCGGGAGGTGAACCCAGGTGGGACCCTGCGTGTGCGCGTCTGACGTGGGCCGCGTGCGGGAAGCAGGCCCCGCCGCTGCGCTGTCCTGCGTGGCTTCCCGCCCGCCCGCCCTCGGGCTGCCGCTGCCGGCTGGACGCGCCCGGCCCTGAGCCAGCTCTCCTGCCCGGCAGCTCTCTTCAGCATCATCACGTTCCCCTTCCTGTTCGCCGTGATGTTCGGGGACTTCGGACACGGCTTCGTGATGTTCTTGTTCGCCCTCCTGTTGGTGATGAATGAAAACCACCCCAGGCTGAGTCAGTCGCAGGAGGTAAGAAGCCGCCGCCGCCGCACGGCCTCTGGTCCGGCAGCCGGAGTCGTGGTTCCCTTCCTGGGACCAACACAGCCGCTTCCTGAGTGCGGGTCGGGGCTTGGCGGTAACCGTACGGCCTGGCTGAGACCTGGTGCGGGGTCGCCTCTGCGACAGCGTCTTGGTTGAGGGTTTTTTTTTTTTTCCCTTTATTGATTTTTAAAAAGAGACGGGGAGAGAGAGAGAAACATCAATGATGAGAGAGACACTGATCGCTGCCTCCTGCACACCCCACACTGGGGATCAAGCCCACAACCCGGGCCTGTGCCCTGATTGGGAATGGAACTGTGACCTCCTGGTTCATAGGTCGATGCTCAACCATTGAGCCACACTGTCTGGGCTGCAGTGCCTTGTCTCTGAGAGCCCTGAGGGCCGTGGTTGAGAAGAGGCCTGCCCAGCCTCGGTCACGTGACCCATCTCCCTGCTCCTGCCTTGTGCGCCCCTGTGCTGACCGCACGCTGCTCTCCACGCAGATCCTGGGCATGTTCTTCAACGGCCGGTACATCCTCCTGCTGATGGGGCTGTTCTCGGTGTACACGGGCCTCATCTACAACGACTGCTTCTCCAAGTCCGTCAACCTCTTCGGCTCTGGCTGGAACGTGTCTGCCATGTACAGCGCCAGCCACGCCCCGGCGGAGCGCGGGAAAATGGCGCTTTGGAAGTAAGTGCCGGGGGCAGCCAGGCGACGGGTGGGGCAGGGAGAGCGTCCTCCCCAGACCCCCCTCTCCCCTCGCCCCTCGCTCTGTTGCAGTGACAGCGTGGTCCGGCGCAGCCGCGTCCTGCAGCTGGACCCGAGCGTGCCCGGGGTGTTCCAGGGCCCTTACCCGCTGGGCATCGATCCTGTGAGTGCACCCCTCCCCCTCCCCCCCCTCCCCCCTTCCCCCCTGCTCCGCACGGCGCCGGCACCGTGGCGTCTCAGACTAGTCCCAGGCTTACAGGCTTTGTTTTGTTGTCACTTTATTTTTTGTTTACGGTTTCCAGTCTGTCGCTTGGCAGTAGGTTCAGGTGTGCACATAGGGTTAGTCATGTTACAGGACGGTGCCCTGATATTCCAGCAACCGCCTGCCTGCACGTGCTTTAATAAAAAATTCTTGTTGTTGTTAATCCGCAGTATTTGTATGTGAAGGTGACACACAGCCCTGCCTGTCCCGGCCCAGGGTCGGGGCCCCGCCAGCACCCTCCCGCTCTCCCCAGAGGGGACAGGGCGCCCCTTCCGCCGAGCCCAAGCCCGAGGGGCCCTTCCTCTTGCTTTTCTCTCTCCTTTCACTTCCTGGGCTCTGGCCCCAAACGCACAGGCTCGCTGCCATTCTTGGCCTTTATGTTCAGACTGTGTCACTCCGGGCCCTGGGCTAAGGGGCCAGCGTTCTCAGGTGGAGCTTCAGGAAGAAAGGGCACGCTGCTCTCCTTGGTTCACTGCTGCTTCCCGTTCAGATGGAGGTCTCTCCACTGCCACCGCGGCAGAGGGAGGGCGCTAACGACTTCTCTTTTGGTTTGTTTTGTCTTTAGATTTGGAACTTGGCCACAAATCGCCTCACTTTCCTGAACTCTTTCAAAATGAAAATGTCTGTGATTTTAGGAATTATCCACATGACTTTTGGAGTCGTCCTGGGAATATTTAACCACCTGTAAGTACAGGTTTTTCGAAAGCCGTATTTCTAAGCCAAGCTGGGTATTTCTTACTTTGCCTCTTGACGGTAGACGACAGGTAAGAGGCAGCCGATGTGGCGGCTGAGTGTGTGAGTGATTGTTTCGATGATACGATTTTTGACAGTTTCATTAGGTCGTTCGCTCAGCAGATGTTTGTGGAGCACAGAGTTGTGCCAGGCAGTATTTTTGGTTCTAGGGAATGAGCAGGGAGGAGGCCGGGAAGCAGGGGAATTACATATTCATCTCTAGGATTGACTTCTCACTTTTTTATGCATTAGAAAAATTTTAAAAATTATTTTTTAGTCCTCACTGGAGGATATCTTTATTGATGAGAGAGAGAAGCATCGATTGGTGGCCTCATGTACCTGCCCCACCAGAAATGGGACCTGCAGCCTGGGTATGCGCCCTGACCGGCATCGAACCTGCAGGCTTTTTGGTGTGTGGGCGATGCTCCAACCCACCGAGCCACCGGCGGGCGAGACAGCCTTTTGTGTGGCGAGCTGGTATCTAGGAGTGAGAGGGAGTGTCTTCCCGAATGGGTCTGTGGGGGCGCGCGGTGTTGCGTCCTCACGGTTCTCTCCCTGGAGCCCTAGCAGCGTGTCGGGCGGGAGCCGTGCTGAGAGGCTTCGTCACAGGAGTGACCGCCTCAGCGCGGCCCTGTCCCGCCCGCCCGCCCTCCAGGCATTTCAGGAAGAAGTTCAACATCTACCTGGTGTCGGTCCCCGAGCTGCTCTTCCTGCTCTGCATGTTCGGGTACCTCGTCTTCATGGTCATCTACAAGTGGCTGGTCTACTCGGCGGAGACCTCCAGGGCGGCCCCCAGCATCCTCATCGAGTTCATCAACATGTTCCTGTTCCCCACCACGGCCACCAGCGGCCTGTACGCGGGCCAGGTGAGTCCCCTCTGTCCCGGCGCCGTCAGCGCATTGCCGGGGCCGTCCCGGGCCTGCGGGCACAGGGGCTGCGTCTCCGTGTGTTATCACAGAAGGATGTGGCCTGCTGGACACGGTGCTGGGGGCGCTGGCAGGCCATACCATCCAGACTCCCTGCCACAGCCCGGCTGGCGTGGCTCAGTGGTTGAGCATTGACCTATGAACCAGGAGGTCACGGTTCGATTCCCGGTCAGGGCACATGCCCGGATTGCAGGCTTGATCCCCAGTGGGGGGTGTGTAGGAGGCAGCCGATCCATGATTCTCTCTCATGTTTCTCTCTCCCTCTCCTTTCCTCTCTGAAATCAATAAAAGCATATTTAAAACAAACCCCCTGCTGCTCAGTAGCTGTCAGAACTGGTGGGAAGTAAATGTACCACTGGGGGTTCCAAGGGCTGCCCAGTCCCCCCACTTTCCCAGTTTCTTTAAAATCCCTCTCTGACAAGGCAGGTCGTCCAAGAATGGGCACCTGGGCCGCAGCCCCGTGGCCTCTCCAATGACCAGGTGTCTGAGTGACGCCCCTCGGCAGCGGCTGCCCGCCCTGCCTGCCCCCAGTCCCCCGCCGCCTCCAAGTGGGATCTGAACCTGACGGTTTTCGCCCCCTTGTAGCCCTCGTCATCGTCATCGTTGGTACTGGAATCGCTCTGGGCCCAGGAGGCGGCCCTGGGCGTGCACTTGCTGTGAGCTCCTTGCTTATGAATGAAGGGATGTTGGGCTTGATGTCTGCCGATTTAAGGAACGTGCCAATGACCCGTCGGGGTCTGTGTAGTCACTCCCTCCCCCCCTCCGCCCGCAGGAGCACGTGCAGCGGCTGCTGCTGGCCGTCACCGCGCTGTCCGTGCCCGTGCTCTTCCTGGGGAAGCCGCTCTTCCTGCTGTGGCTGCACAACGGGCGCAGCTGCTTCGGGGTCAGCAGGGTGAGTGCGGCCATCGGAGCTCTCACCTCCCCCGCTCCTTGGTCCCCAGCAGACCCCACCCCGCCCGGCCTGCCCGTCGGCTCCAGGCCACTCTCTGCCCTGGGAATCCATGACTCTGACCCCCTGGACCCGGTGAGAGTGACTGCTCCCATGTGCTCCTCCCTCGGGGTCCAGGCCTCCACAGGGCTGCTGCTCCGCTGGGGGCGGCTCCCGACCAGCACGCGCTCATGTGATGTTTTTATAATCGCTGTCCTAACGGGTGTGGAGCCCTCACTTTGTCCTAAAGGGCGTTTGTGCTCCCGAGAGTCTAAAACTCGTGAGGAGGAGCCGGGGGCTCTGACCTTGGCCTTGTCACAGCTTTGCTTTGAAAGGCGCTGACCATGCTCCCTGTTCGCTGACCGTGCCCCCTGTTCGCTGACCGTGCCCCCTGTTCGCTGACCGTGCCCCCTGTTCGCTGACCGTGCCCCCTGTTCGCTGACCGTGCCCCCTGTTCGCTGACCGTGCCCCCTGTTCGCTGACCGTGCTCCCTGTTTGTCGCTAGAGTGGGTACACGCTGGTCAGGAAGGACAGCGAGGAGGAGGTGTCTCTGATGGGCAGCCAGGACATAGAGGAGGGGAGCACCCCGCTGGAGGACGGCTGCAGGGAGGTGACCTGTGAAGAGGTAAAGCTTTCAGTTCCTCATGATGAAATAGACGCACATGCCCGGCCGGTGTGGCTCAGTGGTGGGGCGTTGGCCTAGGAACCGGGAGGTCACGGTTCAATTCTTGTCAGGGCACAGGCCTGGGTTGCGGGCTCCATTCCCAGTGCGGGGTGTGCAGGAGGCGGCTGATCCCTGATTCTCTCTCATCACTGATGTTTCCATCTCTCTCCCTCTCCCTTCCTCTCTGAAATCAATAAAGAATAAATAGACTCATCACTAAGCTTTCATGTAGTGATGGTCTTGGTGAGAAGGATGATAATCCGTCTCCAGGTGAGACACTGAGGTGGGGTGCGGGGGAAGGCTGCGAGCAGAGCTGTGAGTCGCCGCCCCGCACCCTGGCGTCCTCACGCCAGGCCGCAGCCAGCTCTCGCGGTCGCCCTGAGAGTGGCGCGGGCTTGGACCTCACGGGGTCTGCCTGGCGCCGACGCTAACCATCCTGCGTGGTCTCCCGCAGTTTAACTTTGGAGAAATATTGATGACCCAAGTGATCCACTCCATCGAGTACTGCCTGGGCTGCATCTCCAACACCGCGTCCTACCTGCGGCTCTGGGCCCTCAGCCTGGCCCACGCACGTAAGTGTCCCCCCTAATACCCTCCTCCCAGCACCGACCAACTCACAGGACGCTTTAAATTGTGGGGGAAGCGCAGCCCCGTCTCTCAGCTCCGGGGTGAAGTTGGCCCGGGGCTGCTGGGAGAAATGCGTGCTCACAGGCCAGGGCTGAGTTGGGACAGAGCCGACTGGCCCCAGTTGGCTCAACCTCTCCCGGGAGGCAGGCTGCCGTGTCCTGACCGGCCCTGCCTTCCTCGGTGCTCGAGATGGTTGGGGAGCTGGTTTATGGTTCCGTGAGAAGCAGGTGACATGTGTCATAGCGGAGGAGGGTGTTATTCATGGGCAGCAGTGGGCATGGCCAGGAGGAAGCCCGGGCAGCCAGCCGGCGAAGGTGACTCACTTCCGGGAACAGACGTTAACTCCACACACGCTCCTCCGCAGAGCTGTCCGACGTGCTGTGGGCCATGCTGATGCGCGTGGGCCTCCGCGTGGACAAGACCTACGGGGTCCTGCTGCTGCTCCCGGTGATGGCGCTCTTCGCCGTGCTGACCATCTTCATCCTGCTGGTCATGGAGGGGCTGTCTGCGTTCCTCCACGCCATTCGCCTCCATTGGTGAGCTGGCAGCTCAACTATTCCTTATGAAAAACGGAACCCCTCCCCCAGATGTGTGGATATAACCCCCCCCAAAATCCAGAGCTTAATTTAGCTGTGCCTTCCCTTCCTCACATTGGGGGCTGTGTTCAGATCTCCCGAGGAAGAATTCTATTTTGTTTCTGAGCTGTTATCCCTGACAGCGAGAGCAAGTTCATGCTTGCCCAGTAGTTGTGTGTATTTCAGGCTCTCAGTTCACCGTGAGCCTTGCTTTATCTTGTAAAAGGCTTCGTACCTGTTTCTCAGTGTTTCACAGTGAATTCAGATTGCTTGTCTGTGTGCCCAGCTACCACGGCGGGGGAGAGGTCCTGGGTGCTGGTGTGTGTGTGTGCACGTGCACGTGTGTGCAGTGCATGAGGCGGTGCGATGTTTCTAACACGTCATGCCTACACAGGGCGAGCACGCGTGCCCATTTTGCCTAAGTACAAATAGTTCTGCAAGAGCAAGATGGGACGAAGCAACTGCAGCCCAGGAATCTTTTGTTCTTAATTTATAAAAGCTGTTTTACGAAATGTGGGGAATGTCACTCACTCGCAACCTTTCATTAACACATGGATTGTTTTTATTTTAGGGTGGAATTTCAGAACAAGTTCTATGTTGGTGCAGGCACCAAATTTGTTCCTTTCTCATTCAGACGACTTTCATGGAAGTTCAGCGACGACAGGGCGTGACTGCAGCGCTGCAGCAGCCAGGCTTTCCCATTGACGGAGAATTATCATGTTGTAGAAATTCACTTGTGTCCAATTTACGATCAGAAAAATTCTGTCTTCATTGATTGCCTTAGGATCTAGCCAAATAATTCTGTAAGATATACCTCTTCCTCACGTTAAATATTTTGTAAAGTTTATCAATTTAGATACATAAATTTATTCCCATTTTCCTGATGAGCAAATATAAGTTAATGCCAAAAGTTACGTTAAACTTATTTTTTAAAATACAGGCTTGGGGGAGAGAAGCCCGCTTTGAGCGGCTAATCGGAAACAGTCTTAGTACTTAATTCCTTTTCACCTTATTAAAACAACAGCAACAAAAAACAAAGAGTTATTCTGTCACCCGAAGTCAGAGAATATTTTCCAACAGCTGAATAAGTATAGTTTTTTAAGAAGTTTAATGACGGATCATCAAAAGACACATTTAATATTCTGCTTGACCAGAGTATGGGAACGTTTTTTATTGTGTACTCCTGGGATTACGAGGAGGAGGCGGTTTCTACAGTTTTGTCTTAATTGGGGAATGTGGGACAAAACCTGCAACATGTTTATTCCCCTGGTATATTTTTTTAAAGACTCTCGCCCTGTTCTTACGTCACTCCGGTTACGGGCTGTATGTTTGGGAAGGAACGGCGTGCTGAGCCTGGCGACGCCGTGTGACTGTGGAAGATGCAGTAGCGACATGCCCTGGACTCAGGGACCCGCTTGGCGGGCGTTACTGAGCAGCAGGGGTCTCTCCTGAGCGGAGGAAAGGGAGAAAGTAGTCTTTTGTACACTTTCATAACAAAATGTAAATCAGGATGTTTTACCATGAGGAGGTCGAACCTGCCCCGAGAACAGTACGTTGACCGTTTTTACCTCTGAGGCTGATTCTAGTGAAGGTCGGACGGAGGCGCTTGGAGTTCACGCACACGCCGCACACTCCTTAGCTCGGCTGGAAGCTGGTTCTCGGCCGCTGAGTTGGAGTCTCTCGTTTAAATGCCTCTGCTCACTTGACGTTTCGTTCTGAGTGAATGGGAATCGGTCCTGTTGGACTTGATCTGGCCCGTCGTCTGTGAATTATGCTCCTCCTTCCTCCTCTGCTGTCATGGTTTGTGGGTAATTTAATTCTTTTCAGGACGAGCCGGCAGTATGTTCACTTGTCACATTTTCTGTAACACACGCCAAAGGCTGTCTGTCGCCATCTCCCCGCCCTGGCTCATTATGCACAGCCAGGCATAACTGACTAACATCAAACCTTTTAAGAAATAGACATTTTTATTGATTTCAGAGAGGAAGAGAGAGTGAGAGACATCAGTTATGGGAGAGACTCATGGATGGGCCTCCTGCACGCCCCCTACTGGGGATCGAGCCCACAACCCGGCCTGTGCCCCGACCGGGAATGAACTGTGACCTCCTGGTTCCTAGGTCAGCGCTCAACCCCTGAGCCCCGCCAGCCGGGCTCACATCAGACCTTTTCCTTGTGTGACGATTCCATGCTGCTCTCCGTGGGTGTCACCCAGAGCCGGTTGAAATTGCCAGCGTTTGTCCCTCATGTTCAATGTCAGACCGTTAGTGACAGTGAGGAAACTGGACAACGATTCTGCTCTCTGCCCCCAGCTTTCCCACTTCCCCCACAGGCTGTCCGTTTTCATCACTCGACTCCAGGGGGCGGGCAACAAAGTGGGAGCTAACTCATCCCGAGGAAGCCCAGGATTCGCCCGTTAGTAAACGAGAGACAGCACTTGCTGGAGCCTCCGCTGCCCGCTGCTCCCTGCCCCGGGGCCACCTTGGTAATTCTAACGAACACCTCCTATCGGTATGGGGCCAGGAGTGCGTCATGTCTCCATGGAAACTTATGTAGAATGTCATTCTAAAAAAGCAAATGAATGGTCCCAACAAAACTCTCCAGAAACAGTGTGATGGTGTCCCTTCAGCACTAACGGGAATTTTACTTCTTTACGAAGCTGTTGGTCCCAGCGTCGTGTCACCAGAGCAGTTGTTTTGCTTTGTTTTTAAGCTATTTGGTGGAACTGTTGTGTGTACAGTGTTGAAGGCAAGACTTTATTCTCTTGATAGCAAATACCAAGAGGAAAAGTGGCCAGCGGTCTGGGTGATGTTCTAAATATGATTATTTTTCTAAAGATCCGTGTCATGACGGCCAGGTTTTCCAGGTTTCGTTCTATGTGTTCATGGAGTCCTAAAACATAAAACCGAGGATTTCTTCCGTCATCTAGAATCTGAGTTCATCCTCGAAGGTGGAGAGCGTCCTTGTGGTGACGTGATCATGGTCCGCTCGGAAGCCCTAAGGTGTTCTGACGGGGTCACGGGGAGCCCCGGACTTTCCGTTCATCGTGGACGTGACTTTGCAAAGACTCGCCTCACCGGACGCGCCGCTTCCTCCTTTCCGCACGGGGTTTTGTAACAGCCTTCGGCTCTCCGTTTCTCCCTGCAGTAGTTTGGTGAGGCATAGCACGTCTGCAGCACAGGCGGCGCTTAGGGACGCAGGTCCGTGTGGTTTGGAAAACAAACGCAAAGTAACTTCAGCCGCTGCTCTGCAGTCTGCATTCGTGACTGAAATGTCGAAGCCAGGTTGGCTGGCACGCCACCTGGTCTCCAGCAAGGTGACTGGGGCATCGCCATTCCAGACCGGGACACAGGGCCGTCCCAGGGGCGGTCTGGCAGCCGGCACCGAGCTGAGCTTTGGCTTCGGATTGTAAGGAACCCTTAGGACCTGCCACTCACTTCCTAGTGGGAACCCCGACCAGGGCGAGTGCTGAGGTCGGCCTGGAAGTGAGGAGCCTCAGGCTCAGCAGACACCGGTGGACAAGCCCCGGCCCCCCGGATGCACTAGGACACGTGCATCTTCCTCTCAGTATTGAACTTTTTACTAATGAAAATAAATCTATATTTTTAAACCGTGAGCGTTCGTTCTGCTTTATTCTTCCCTGGCTGACAAGAAAGCCAAAACAGCCGCCCCTTTGTGATCATAACCTCCCTCTTCCCCCCCAACTTGTCCCTTCAGGCTCTCTCCGCAGAGGTATTTGCTCCGCCACCTGTGACCCGTAGGGCCTGGAGGCTCGGACGAGGCCTCCCTGGCCTCCAACTTCGCCTCTGCCCCTCGGAGATCCTGGGAACTTGTCGCCTCTCTTGCCTCGGTTTCCGTACACAAAGCGGGCAGGTTGCCAGCCCAGGGAGTCCCAGACAAGGCTCTTGGGCCCCGAGGTCCGCAGTGGGCTGCCCTTGGGCCCCACGCCGGTGCGTGCTGCCCCCAGCTGGGCTCGGAGGAAGGGTAGACCCACGTCTAGGGAGGAGCCCCTCACCCCTCACCCCTCCGCGCGGAGGCTGGGGGCACCCGGGCTTCTCTCGAGGGCTCGGATCCACCCTCTCCCGCGGCTGGGCCCGCGCCTCTGCCAGCGCGGGGACGGTGTGGGGCGTGCCCCTGGACTGAGGCGGGGTCCACGTGGTGGCGGCCGTTGCCGGAGCGGCCGTTGCTAGGGGCGCCGTTGCCAAGGACGCCTGCCTGCCGGCCGCTGGGCTCCCTTCGCGGCCATGGACGACCTGCGGGTGCAGTGGATACGCGACCGCGTGTACACGGCCTTGGGCCTCACAGACCCCCAGCTCTTCGAGGAGCTGCTGGTCCGCAACGACGGCGAGGCCGAGGACCTCATCCTGCACTTCCTCAACCACACCAGCGAGGAGGAGGGCGCCGCCACGCTCTTCTTCTACCGGAAGGTGCTGCCCGAGGAGGTGGAGGTGGAGGTGGAGACCGGTGAGCCCGCCGCTCCCTCCCCCGGGCGGCTGCCCACCCACCCCCGACCTCCGCCTCCCTCCCTCGGGTGCCGGCCTTAGATGGTTGTGGTCGCCCACCCAGTGCGGGGACTGTCGGGGTCCCGGGTGAGCGGGGAGCTGCCCCTGCTCGCACAGACCGCTGGGGAAGGAGCCCTTGAGTGCATAGTCGCAGCAAACGCTGATTCAGTGCTTCCTCCGCACCCGGTTCGGTTCCACGGCTTATAACAGCTCATTCATGCTGTGAGGTGGGAGTATTGTTAACCCATTTTACAGATGAGCAAGCTGTGGCACAGAGAGGCCGAAATGACTCACCACGTAGGTCACCCAGGCAGTCAAGATTCAAGAATAGGAGCCACTGCTCAGTGACAGGCCAGAGACCCGCCTGGGTGCTGGGGGACACTTCCTCCTTCCTCTCCCTGATACTGGCAGGTGTGCCCTGGGCGGAAGAGCGGTCCTTGCTATCTTCCGAGGTTCCTGACATGCAATTGGAAAGCAATGTGCAGCCCTACCCGTTTTGGCTCAGTGGATAGAGCGTCAGCCTGCGGACTCAAAGGTCCCAGGTTCGATTCCTGTCAAGGGCATGTACCTTGGTTGCGGGCACATCACCAGCAGGGAGTGTGCAGGAGGCAGCTGATCGATGTTTCTAACTCTCTATCCCTCTCCCTTCCTCTCTGTAAAAAATCAATAAAATATATTTTAAAAAAGAATTTGCAAACGAGGTTTTAAAAAGGGCAGCCGATTTTATTTATTTATATTTTTTAAAAAATATTTTTATTGATTTCAGAGAGGAAGAGGGCGTTAGAAACATCAGTGATGAGAGAGAATCATGGATCAGCTGCCTCCTATGCGCCCCACACTGGGGATCGAGCCCACAACCCAGACCTGTGCCCTGACCTGGAATAGAACCGTGACCTCCTGGTTCATAGGTTGATGCTCAACCACTGAGCCATGCCACGCAGGCAATACACTTATTTTGCGTTGTAGAAAAAGCTAAAACCACAACATAACCACCATAACAAATTGCTAGCGGCACCCAGAGAGACGAATCTATTCTTCCAGCCTTTCATTACTTTCTCCAGGCAGACCTTTGGACTTGGATGTTACGTTATAGCAGGACCTTGAATTTAGACCCTCATTATCACCAAGTGACAATATGGACGTAAAGATACACGAACGGGATCGACTGTTTAACATGGACCAAATTTCAGTCACCCTGATTTTGTACTTAAAATATATATATCAACACCCTAAGAAATGGACTCGACTTGCACTCCGTGTGACCGCTGTTTGCGGTGCGGTGTATACTCACACATGTAGCCCAGTGTCTCCTGGCTGGATGTCCCCCTTCTGCATGGACCCAGATTACATTCCCACTTTAGAGGGTCCCCCGGTTAATTCCTGGGCCCTCCAAAGGCGCTTGGAAACCTCCTGGGGTGGTGGTCTGTTTCTGGGCTGCCTCTGACTCTCCCCCGCCCTTCCCCTCCTTTTGGTTCGTCTCCACTGTCGTCCCTAAATGCCAGTGCCCTCCCCGCTGGAGGATTTGCACGGCTTCGCTTTGCATCGCTATGGCTGTCTCGCTACCTCGAATGTTTCTGTATGACCGTGTTGGTTCACAAACTGGCCCCTGTGCATGGAGAAGGGCAGCCGGATTGGTGACCGACCGGTTTACTGAGCCAGGGGGCTCCCATCAGAGGCTTGTTGGGGGCCCTGGCGCAACGGGGACCGCCAGGACCTTAGTTTACCGACAGGCCTCGGCGGGGATCAGTCGTGGTCCCCACCCACGTGGTCTCAAACACACGTGATTCTCAGGCTGCGCCCTTGCAAAGGCCTCCCGCGCTGGGACGGTCTGCGGAACTTTCCATTCCAAGGGTAGGGGTGGGGGAGGGACCGCTTACTGCCCGGGGCCAGCTTCCGGGTCAACCAGGGTCACTTCCGGTGGAGACCCCCTTCCATAGGCTCGGCTCTCCCGCCAGGTCCAGCTCCTCCACCCCGAGGAGAGCTGCGATGCCAGGTGTGTCTGGCCCCGAGTCAGTGATGACTTATTCTTCTCTTTCCATTTCTCCGGCTGCGAAGACGAGGTTTCCGCCTCGGAGGGGGATGAAGCGGAGGAAGAAGAGACCAAGTCTCTGAAGATCGAGTCCATGGACAAAGTGTCAGGTGCGGGGTTCGGAGGGCGCTCCGCGGGCAGAACCGGAAAGGTTGTTGCCCGGACGGGACTCATTTCCGCTGTTGACCCTCGCGGCGCCGAGGCGTGTAGGTCGCGGGAGGGAACTAGCGGGGTTGACGGGCGGGTGCGCTGTCAGTTTCCCTCCATGGCGGCTTCTGCAGGCCGCACGCCCGAGGGGAGCTGTCCGCCGGGCCGAGCGCCCCCTGCAGGGTCCCGGGGGACCCCCCTGCCCCCCAGCGGCTGGTGGGTGGTGGTGGTCAGCCATTGGCTTGGAGGCCATCCCTGCATTTCGGCCTCTAGTCACATGGCGTCCTCCCCGTGGGCCTGTGTCTGCATCTCCCTCTTTTCTCCTGTGGATGTAAGAAACGTCCATACCTGCAGAGGGTTTTGTGTGTGTTTTTTAAAAAATATGTTTTTACTGATTTTAAAGAGAGGAAAGGAGACGGAGAGAAACAGCCATCCGCTGCCTCCTGCACGCCCCCTACTGGGGCCCGAGGGCAGCGCAGGCCTGTGCCCTGGGAATCAAACTGGCGCCCAAGGTGCACAGGCCAGTGCTCAACCGACAGACACACACCCTCCAGGGCTGGGGCTGCAGAGAAGTTTTATGCGTCTATTTGGGCCAAACTGGTGACATTTGCCTGGGAGCCGGGTCTCAGGGGTTCCTAAGAGTAAGCGGTTGCAGTTTCTTTTATGCATTTGAGACGAAGGGGGCACAGGAGGAGGACGACAGGGGCGTGGGGGACAGACGGGGTTGGGTTGACAGGACAGTAGAGATGGGGTGCTCCCTGAAGTGGCGGGGCGGGGGGGGGGGGCTGTAGGAGGAGCCGTCCGACAGGAGGCGTTTCAAAGGCCTGTGAGACTTGGACGGACCGGGCCTGCTCACAGCAAAGCTGGGAAGTCCTGTGCCTGGGGCTGACCACGCGCCGTGACCTGCCCGCTGGGAGGTTCTGACCAGGCCACGTCGTCTAGATGACTTTTCTCTGCATCGCCCACAAGTTTCGAGTTTTGTAGTGAAAAAGGAGCACATGCTAGTGTGTCAGCGGTGATTCTCGTCCTGGTGATAAAACTCCATTTTTCAAAGTAAAACACTGGGAAGTCACTCGTTGGACACAGTCATAGAAGATACACACACGCACACACACATACGCACACGCATGTGCACACACGGGCACACACATACATGCACGCGCGTGCACACACATGCTACATTTCTGATTGAGGACCCATCCAAAATGCAGTACAACTCTCCCGACGTGAGTGTGAGTTGAGGCCATGAGAGGGTCCATTTGTAAAAGACGCGAGTGCGGCCTTTTGATGCCAGGCCTGTAGCATGAAATGTGCTCCTGGACAGCTTGCGCGTTTGGTCTTGCTGGGAGGGAACCCGGTTCTCCGAGCGGCTCCTCTTGTTCATCGAATGACGTTTTGCAGCTAAGGATGGGCATTCGAGAGCCAGTTCCATGTTTCAGTCCATGATGAGCACAGAGGATGACAACTGGGTCAGAGAGCGACCGGAACACAGGCTCGCCAAGGTACGCGCGCTCTCGTCTCCTCGGAGGCATTGGGAGTTTGGTGCCTTCTGAGGAGGCTGGGGGACCGACACAGGTCCTCCGAGGCCTGGAGGTGACAGCCTTCTGCGGGGGTGGAGTCCCCGAGACCCCCTGGGATCGCATGGTTCGCTGCATGACTCCCAGAACCCAGAAGAGCTTTTGTAGTTGCGGATAGCGTTTATCTCAGGGAAAGCAGGCAGATGCAAATCAACAAGGGAAAAGGAGGCTGGGGCAGAGGCCAGCTGAGTGCAGGCCTGAGCTTCCCCCGGCCCGCCCCGGGGGTGGGGACATGGACAGAGCTAATTCTCCCAGCAGCTGCCTGCGTGGGACAACAGGTGTGAAGTGTTGCAAATCAGGGAAGCTCACCTGAGCCTTGGTGTCCAGGGGGTCAGTCCCACAGGCAGGAAGTGCCCTCATG